TCAAATCAGTATCAGCACATAAGTATTCATTACTATTTCTTTTTTTATTTTTATTAAAAATTTTCACCTTCTCCCCTTCTCCCATTTCCCTCCTCCTCCCTCCTTTCCATGTCTTCCTCCCTCTCCAGTCCAAAGAGCAGTAAGGGTTCCCTGCCCTGTGGGAAGTCCAAGGTCCTCACCGCTCCATCCATGTCTAGGAAGGTGAGCATCCAAACAGACTAGGCTCCCACCCAGCCAGTACATACAGTAGAAACAAAACCCAGTGCCATTTTCCTTGACTTCTCAGTCAGCCCTCATTGTCAGCCACATTCAGAGAATCCAGTTTGATCACATGCTCCAACACTCCCAGTCCAGCTGGCCTTGGTGAGCTCCCATTAGATCAGCCTCACCATCTCAGTGGATAGGCACACCCATTGTGGTCCTGACGTCTTGCTCACGTTCTCCCTCCTTCTGTTCCTCATTTCGACCTTGGGAGCTCATTACTATTTCTAATAAATATCCTTGCAATTTCTTATTTGCTATTATCTAAATATTATGCTGCTTCAAGGCAGAAAAAAGATGAAAATTTACAAAGTATAAAACTATGAACGCGTATATGTTATATATGTATATATATATATGTGTGTGTGTATGTGTGCTTGTGTTTCTTTGTATCTCAATTTAGCTGTAAGAATACACAATTTTCTATCATTGAACCTTTTTTCTCTTTTGCATATGATTTATTAATATTTAAGATGCATTTGCGAATGAGAGCTAAAGACAACTTATACAAAGCAAATACTGAGAAATTATGCAACAAAGAGAAAGGCATGCAAACATTAAGGTTCAAGCAGATCTGAACAGAAGGCAATGGAATTAAGTGTATTTGCTAGAAATGTAATGCAGTGAAAGTTAGATAAAGTTGGTCAAAATCCACAAGGATAGTTAGATCTAGCATAATTTAAGAATGGATTGTGTGACTTTTGTGATGGAGACTAGTATTTCCTGGAGCATCTTTGCAAAGAACAACTAAACAGCCAACAAACCAATGAACAAATGGTCCTGTGTTTTGGTGTGTTCTTTTTACTGTACTAGAGGATCAGAAGTATAGTGATCCAAACTCTATTTATCTTGTCATAAATTTCTAAAGGTTGAGAAGCTGAAGACCAAAAGCACACATCTGGCGAAGTTTCTTTTGTTCAATGGTGATACAATAAAGTCCTAAGGATCAGAGGAGTTCCAGTGAAATTAAAAAGAAAGGACCAAAGTCAGTCTCATGTAAGGATTCCAGACCTGTGGTAACCATCCAGTTCTCATAAGAGCATTAATCAGTTTGCAACATGACCTATTGCTATAATGATTCATCTTTTCCAATAGATGGTATTGGGTGTTATATTTTCAACACTCCCAATTTGGAAGACAAATTCTGCAACATTATGTATATCTCAGGGATTATAGTAGAGAGAAGCATTAAAATGTCAGTAATATCTTCTTTCAATAATATTACTTATGAAAATCAGAAATCTCATGTTACCTTATAAGCAGCAGCTCCAAATGAACATAAGCTGACACTGTCAATCTGTAGTTGTTATTAAGCTATTCTTCATGATTTAGACTTGATCCAGAATGGGGACAGCTTTCCTTTGTGAAGGATAAGGAATCACAAATTCTAGGTCCAAGAAAAACAGTGTCAAAGAATTATAAGATATCTCACCTGAGTTTTTTAGTACGTTTCCTAAAATATCTTAAATTGTCCTATGGTTTCTGTTTCCTAACATTACCCTCATATACTGCAAATTAAATTTAATAGTACTGTTTAACCAATTCCTAATTTTCTATATGCTCATTTATATTTACATACTAGGTGTTGTTTTATATTCTTTATTTCTAATCTACCAGCTCCTTAATTCATTTTTGGGTGATTTTGTTTCCCTAGCAAATTATCTAGAATTGTGGTAGAGGATTAAAAGTGGTAGATAATTTTTTTGTTTATATATTTAGGCAAGACCAAGTTCCCCTCTTCCCCTGACTAAGGTATCCCTACAAAAAGAATGTGCTCCTAGATACCAGTGTAAGTACAAGGTATAAATCCTGATACCATAGCCAGTGGCCCCCCAGACTGTCCATGCCTCCCAACTGTCTCCCACATTCAGTGGGCCTAATTTGATCCTATGCAGGTTTGTCTGCTGTCAGTCCAGGGCCAGAGAGTTTTTACTAGCTCAGGTCAACTGTTTCTGTGACTATGACCCTGTTGCTCATATTATTGCTCCTCCTTCTCTTGGGCTGCTCTCAGGTTGCTTGGCCCAGAGCTTTGCTGTAGATCTCTGTGTATGCTTCCAACAGTTGCTGGTTGAAGATTCTTTGATAACAATAAAGGAAGTCATCAGCCTGGTTACAGGGGAAGGTCAATTTAGATGTCCCTCCACTGTTTCTTAGAGTCTTAGCTGTGGATATCCTTGAGGATTCCTGGAATTTTTCCCTTGCCTCTGTTTCTCAATAGCTCTTTAATTATTCCCTCAATCAAAATCTCTCTTTTTTTTCTCTCCCTCACTGTCCTTCCCCCTTCTTGAGCATCCCAAACCCTCATGTTCTTCTCCTCTCCTCTTCCCTCCCTCTTTTTCACCTCCTCCCCTCCACTATTCCTTCTCCTCCCCTCCTAATTTTTTCAGAAAGACTTGTCTGTTTTTCCTTCTCTGGAGGATCCATGTATGTCTCTCTTAGAATTCTCCTCATTGCCTAACTTCTCTGGGATTATGGACTCTAGGCTGGTTATCTTTTGCTTTACATCTAACATACACATATGAGTGAAAACATACCATGTTTGCCTATCAGGGTTTGAGTTATCTCACCCAGGATGCTTTTTTTGTAGTTTCATCCATTTGTATGCATGTTTAAAGATGTCATTGCTTTTAACGGCAGAGGAGTACTCCATTGTAAAATGTACCACATTTTCTTTATCCATTCTTCTGTTGAGGGACATCTAGGTTGTTTCCAGGTTCTGGCTATTACAAATAATTCTTCTTTGAACATAGTTGAGCAGTTGTCTTTGTGGTATAAGTGTGCATCCTTTGGTTATATGTCCAAGAGTGGTAATATTGGGTCTTGAGGAAGATTGATTCCTAATTTTCTGAGAAATCAACTTACTGATTTCCAAAGTGGCTGTACAAGTTTGCAATCACACCAGCAGTGGAGGAGTGTTCCTCTTACTCTACCAGAATATGCATATTTTTAACATCAAGCTATACATGTTTTCCTGTAATTTCTGAAATGAACCAAATTCAACAAAGTTTGCTTTAAATACTCTATAGGTATCTTAAATTCTCTTACTCTATTTGTTTTACCACTAATTGAATAATCCCAAATTTTTCCATAAGTCTTGATTTCTTTAACATATTGAGTATTAAAAACAACTACTATGATGAGTTCTTCTCTTATTACAATTTTATTCAAGTTCTCTCAACACTGCTTAAAAGATCCAGTATCTAAAGATTATTTGTATTTTACTAAGCTGATTTCTAGATATTTGCTGCTAATTTAATAATATTCTATACCATTTGTGTTCATTTTTTTGAAATTCAAATGAAATATATTTTGTTATTAGTATCAGTTTGTCTCAAATTTTCCCATTATGTTTTGGCTCTTAAATTCTTTCTGGCCCTTTCGTTTTTGCTTAGAATCTTTGTACATTTCCTTTATTTGTGTGAGATTTTCTAAGAAATCTTGAAGTTGAAATCATCCAGGGATTTCAAGAATTTCCTTCATATTTTCTTTAAGACCTTCTATATAACTCTGTCTATTAAAATATGTAAGATTTTCTGAGAATTATGTTTTTATCTATGCAAGACATAGGTGTTTATATATTTAAAACATTTGATACTTTTGACTCTTTAAATGAATAAACTCTAATAATCTTAGGAATTTGCTTTGTGCACACAGTAATTAATTTGTTCATCATTTAATAGACTATAGGATTATGATTATATTTTCCTTCTATCTATGCTTTCCTGATAACAGTTCTTCTTAGTTCACAACATATAAATGGGAAAAATAACTGAACTGAGTCTTTTTCTCTATTATTAATATGTAGAAACGCTGACTTATCATTTGAGAGAATATCAATGTGAACTAACAATACAAAAATCATATTTCAGATTTTATGAGTGGCAAGGTTACAGTAATATTTATATCTTTACACAGTCTCAGATAATACATTGTCCTAATCAAGGTGTCATTTGAGTGAACATGGACATTTTGGCTTAATGGCCTCACTATTTAATCACCACTCACTGAATTTGTTCCTCTTAAGAACTGATTCTCAAATTAGAAATCACTTCCTAGTAGAACCATGTTTTCTGTACCTAATGTAATGTTTGCTCCAGATATCACTTAATTTTCACTTAAATTTCATTTGGAAATTTTATACTTTAAATTTAAGACATACCTCACAAATTAGAAAAAAATGGAAATGTCAGAAAATAATAGATATGTAGATTCCCTGGGAAAATTAAATTTTTTGCAATATTTCACTATTATGGGGTAATATCTTTCTCCAGATTTTTGGGCAGTTTTTCTCACTGAAACCCTCTGTAAATAACAACATAGAGACATTGATTTGAAGTCATAGAAAATTCATGAATAAATGCAGTGATAGTATTTTGTATAAAATTCATTCTTAATTATGAGTATGTTAAAAATAATAATAAATGATGAATTTTGTTTATCTAGGATGATCCAGTTACAGTAATTATATAGATACAAAATTTATTCTTAAGGCAGAAATAATTTTAGGGGACATTGTGTATATGGAAAAAGAATTATGTCATGGTTTTTAGCTTTTGCTTTGCTTTTTTTTTCAACAAAGCATTTCTTTGTGTTGCGGTGACTGTCCTAGAACTAACTCTGTAGACTTGACTAGACTTGAATTCACAGATATCTGCCTGCCTCTGACTCCTGTGTACTTTGATTGAAGGATGTGCCACCACCACCTACTCAAAGAATTCTTTTACTCCTTCAGGATCTGAATGACGAACGTGGCAGCAGGAAACCATTCCACAGTCACCGAGTTTTATTTGGTTGGACTCTCAGAGAAGCCAGAATTCCAGATGCCCCTCTTCTTCCTTTTTATTGGAATCTGTGCGGTCACTGTAACAGGGAATCTGGGCATGATCACACTGATAGGGCTAAGTTCCCACCTGCACAACCCCATGTACTACTTCCTCAGCAGTCTGTCCTTCATTGATTTCTGTCAGTCCACTGTTGTTACTACTAAAATGCTGGTGAGCTTTTTGTCAGAGAAGAACCTCATCTCTTACTCTGGATGCATGACTCAGCTCTATTTCATTATCTTCTTTGGCATTGCAGAATGTTACACACTAGCTGCAATGGCATATGACAGATATGTTGCTATCTTCAACCCATTGCTTTACAGGGTAATCATATCCTATAAGATTTACAGCCCTTTAATTTCAGGAGTGTATATTTTTAGTGTGTTCTGTGCATCAGTTCACATAGGCTTCATGACTAGGATTTGGTTTTGTAAATTAGATGTGATCAACCATTATTTCTGTGGTCTTCTTCCAATCTTGAAGCTTGCATGCTCTAATATCTATATCGATGAATTGTTGATTCTTTTCTTTGGTACATTGAACATCTCTCTCCCAATTCTCACCACTATTTCTTCTTACATCTCCATTATTGCCAGCATCCTCAGGAGTAAATCCACAGAAGGCAGGTCCAAAGCCTTCAGCACGTGCAGTTCCCACATCTCTGCTGTTGCTTTCTTCTTTGGTTCTGCTGCATTCATGTACTTACAGTCATCATCAGTCAGCTCACTGGACCAAGGAAAAGTGTCATCTGTGTTTTATACTACTGTTGTTCCCATGCTGAACCCATTGATTTACAGCCTGAGGAATAAGGATGTCAATATTGCCTTGAATAAAATATTTGAAAGAAAAATATTTAAGTAGTCAGAAGTAATGTGAGGATTATTTATTAGAGCAAAATTATAAAGAAATAAACAATTTTGAAATGATACTGTTTACATTTATATACCTGTTATTATTACTCATTTGCTAGGAAAGTTTGATAATTTTTTCTATTAGAATATTTAAATTCAAATTTCAACCCACATATTATCAGAATTTTAGAGAATCAACAGTAGAAATAAATATTAATCATTCCCTGGATCCATATGCCCATAATGGGTATCCCATCATGTTGCATACATTTTTCCTGATAGTTGATGCAAATTACTTTAAAAATAATGTACTTCAATCTTAATTATAAAATGGTACATTTCATTATTATTATTATTATTTCACATTACAATAAATATATTTTCTTCCTTTCCTCCTAATATTCCTCCCCATTTCTCTCCTGTTCCTCTATCCATTCCTGCTCCATTTCTACAGTTATATTTCATTTGTATTTTAGTAACTAAATCTTGCCTGAAAACCCAAACACAAAACACCCATAGTAGACAGTTTTACAGTGTAGGCAGTGGTAGTACACATCTTTAATTCCAGTAGTCACACTGGTTATCCATAGAGGGCAGGTGGTAGTGGTGCAAACCTTTAATACTACCAGTAAAGAAGAATATAGGGTGCGATGAGACTTTCTTTCAGTCTGAAATGTCATAGCAGTAAAAGCTCTCTAGTGACTGGATGCTTTGCTTTACTGACCTTCAGGTTCAACCTTCATTTTCTGCCTCAAGTTTTTATTATTGGTGCTACATTTGGCACCCATTGTTTAGGGTATGTATTCATGAAAAAGTTGTTTGCCTGTAACTTTTTAGCCAAATTACACGCTGGAGTTTCACGTGGGTCTCCAGCTGGAGCTGCATGTAGGAACCCAGACCCACCAAGCTAGAATTTATTTTATTTTCTTCCCAAGCCTCTGAGAAAGTTGGGGTTTTCCTGTTGTAACCTCTCTGAAACAGGCTCTATTTGCCACCCAAACTCCAGAAGCACCTGGGCTCCAAATACCATGGATTCATCCACTCTTGACTGACTGCTTTTGCATTTAGGTAGACACCACCAGACATGTGCCTTTACCAAATAATTCCCTGTGTGTATTTCAGACAACTGGCTCTCTTTCTCTCTTCACCATGGTTTGTGGGCTCTCCCTGAATGTCCTTCTTGAGCTGCTTCCAAACAAGATAGCTGCCACAAAATATCGCCAGACACATATCATTCTGCACAGCAACAGTAAACATCACATCTCTATCAACATTGTCGGTAGATCTAATAAGACAATTGGGAAGTATTTTTTTAATTTTTAATTGATTTTTATTGAGCTCTACATTTTTCTCTGCTCTCCTCCCTACCTCTACCCTTTCCCCTTCAACCCTCCCCCAAGGTCCTCACGCTTCCAATTTACTGAGGAGATCTTGTCTTTTTCTTCTTCTCATGTAGATTAGATCTGTGTATGTCTCTCTTAGTGTCCTCATTGTTTTCTAAATTCTCTGGGATGGTGATTTGTAGGCTGATTTTTTTTCTTTATGTTTAAAAATCCACTTAAGAGTGAGTACATGTGAAAATTGTCTTTCTGGGTCTGAGTTTGCTCAGTCAATATGTTTTCTAGCTCCATCCATTTTTCCTGCAAAATTCAAGATGTCATTATTTTTTTCTGCTGTGTAGTACTCCATTGTGTAAATGTACCACATTTTCCTTATCCATTATTTGAGTGAGGGTTATTTAGGTTGTTTCTAGGTTTTTACTATGACAAAAAATGCTGCTATGAACATAGTTGAGCACATGTCCTTGTGGCACTATTAAGCATCCTTTGGATATACACATAAAAGTGATATTACTGGGTCTTGAGGAAGGTTGCTTCCTAATTTCCTGAGAAATCCACAACATCCAAAGGGGATGTACCAGCTTTCATTTGACAATTGGGAAATCTTAAAGGAAGGAATTAGTTAAAAGAGAGTATATCCCACATTTAAAAGTCGGAAAAAATACTATAATGGAGGAATTTTGGGTCTCTGTATCATAATGTGCTAGACTACATGAAAATGGAATTATTAAAAAAGAGGATATCTAATTTAGATGAGATATATGTAATTTTAATAATAAACATTGCCAGCTTTATAATTTTTTATCACAAAAATGTTAGTTAATCTTAGTGCTAAGATGCCGACCTTAACGATCTCAAAAAAACAGATCAGAGGAATTTAATAAAGAGCCAATTTCAGCATTACATTATACATATAGAGAAGAACAGCCTAAGGTTTCCAACAGCAACCTTGATATATCCCTAATCTTATAATTTTTTTCTTAGAATAATCGTGTGAAAGGTGTGGCAAAGGATTAATGAATGTATGTTGACGAGGAATATTCAAGGTAATCATTTGCCATTGGGACACACCTTGAGGAGCCTCTTGCAGGCCCCTCTACCAAATTAGGTTAAGTCATTTCTTGCAATCATGGAGGGAACTCTTTCCCAAAGCAATTAAAGAACCTAATGCCTATTATAAGAAACCACACTGCTGTGGATAATGGAACAGCTATAGTAGACAGAACATATAATTTAGGAGAAGCCATAAAGTAAGATTTTGGCAAACTTCCACAAAGGAATAAAGAGCAAAATTAAAAATTTGATTAAATGATTTTGTCATTGAAGGTCTGGTAGATACAGGTAGGGATGTGACAATAATTTCATCAGAATCATGGCATCCTAATTGGTCTTTTTAGTATGAAAATATTCAGGTTTTGGGATTGGAACTTCATCTCAGGTAAAGGTTTGTAAAAAAAAAAAAGCGGGGGGAAGTGAATATACAAGGACAAAAGAACAGAAAAGAATATTAAAATTATATGTAACTAAGATAACAATGTATTTGTGGGGACATGGTTTGTTAGAGCAATGGAATATTCATATTAGCATTCTTTCCATCTCAGAAACAAACTACAAATTAATGTATATTTTTGAGTAAAATATTGTAAGATATTATAAAGAACAGTCATGGACCATTCAGGTTGTAGAACAAGGCTTAACAGCTGTTGATATTTCAATGTCACCAACATACCTACCTTTAAAATGGTTGACACACAAGTATGTATGGGTTAAGAAATGGCCTTTAATAATAAAGAAATTGCAGGCTTTTGAACAACTGGTACAGAAACAACAAGATGCTCACCATATTTAAGAATCAACCAGACCTTGGAATTCTCCTATATTAGTTTTTGAAAATAAACCTAGAAAATAGTGAATGGTAACAGATCTAAGAGCTGTAAATATCGTGAATTAGCCAATGGGATCACTACAGTCTGGAAATCTTTTGCCTTTCCTACTACCTAAGGATGGCCTCTTATAGTTATTGATTTAAAAGATTGTTTCTTCACTATACCTTTAAAAAAAGACAGAGAAATATTTCCTTTCACAGTGCATACTTATAATAATTTTAAGTCTGCTAAGAGATATGAATGGAAGATTCTCCGAGAGGGAATGATAAATATCACCAATATTTTGTATGGCACCTACTCTTCAATCTAGAGTTTACCATTACATGTATGACCTTATACTTTCCAATTCAAATCTACATACTTTAGAAATAATGTCTGAAGAAATAAAGAAAACACTTGCTTTGTTGGGGACTACAAATTGCTCCTGAAATATTACAAAGAGGAGATTCTATTAATTATTTAGGCTATGATAAGTTCACAAAAAATTAGACCCCAATAGGTGCAAATTAGGATTGAATTATTGAAAATACTTAATGACTATCAAACATTCCTAGGAGACATTTTCAATCTATGGCACACTTTTGGGATAGTTCCTGATGACTTGATTAATTTAAAGAAATTGACTTTATTATTACAAGATACAATCAGGAATAGGAATAATCCTGTATACATAATATGCACCTCATCCTATAAGTATATGCCAAGTCCTCTAGCTCAAGATATGTAGAAACCAATCAGTTATTGATTATAAAGATGCTGAACCTCAGAATTTTGTAAGAAAAATCATGTCATTAAAAAGGTTTTTCAAAAGAGTTTTTAAGCACATGGCAAGAAGCCAAGGAAATTTTAAGGAGTTGTCCTACTTGTTCTTTATGAAACCAAACACCACTACATACAGAAAGTAACCCAAAGAGTACTCAAAAGAATGAAATATGCCCGATGGATGTGTTTCATTTTGTGGATGTCTGCCATTCCACAGTCTTTACCACAAAAGTCAGAACCGAAAAAGGGTGCGTTCACCCACTGATACAAGGAGACTGATCGAATAAGAGCTCACCAAGGCCAGCTGGACTGGGACTGAACGAGCATTTGATCAAACCGGATTCTCTGAATGTGGCTGACATGGGGGCTGACTGAGCCCCCGAGGTCCAAATGAAGACTGAGAAGCCATTGACAATGGCACTGAGTCTTGTTTAGTCTGCATGGACTGGCTTTTTGGGATCCTGGCCTGTTTGGATGCTCATTTTCCTGGACCTGGAGGGAGGGGGGAGGAACTTGGATTCCCCACAGGACAGGAAACCCTGACTGGTCTTGGGAATGGTAAGGGAGGAGGAGAGGGAGTGGGGGGAGTGGGAAGGTATTGGGAGGAGGGGAGGAAGTGGAAAGAGTGTTTTCAGATACTTGAATAAACAAACAAACAAAAAAAGGTCGGTGACCTTTGTGAAAGAGAAGAATAAATTCTCCTACACTGGATGCATAACTCATCTCTACGTCTTCCTCATTATTGCCATTGCAGAATGTCACATGTTAGCTGCAATGGCATATCATTGCTATGTTGCCATCTACAACCCCTTACTTTACAATGTAACAATCACCTTTCATTTCCTGATTTCGAGGATGTATATTATTGGTGTGGTTTGTGCATCAGCTCACACTGACTTTATCATCAGATTTAGTTCTTTAATATAGATGTGATCAATCACTATTTCTTCTTCCTCTCTTGAAGCTTGCTCACTCTAACTGTTATGTTAATGAGTTGTTGATTCCGTGTTTTGTAATTTTTA